TGACTTATTTTCTGCTGAATGGTTGTGTTTTCACTCCTGCTCCCTATCCTCGTATCTCTCTCTCTCTCTCACCATATCACAACTTCTGACCTGGTTAGAGAGGAAGCGAGATACGGGGGTAGATGGGCCTGGACACACAGACAAGTGGTTGCAGAAAGTTGGTCACGGGAATTGACTTGACGTGTCTCTTTGGCGAGTCGTAAATTAGGGTTGAACACGACAACATATACCGACAACTGTGAAAAAACGTCTGGAGATGTACCAGATCCACGTCCCGACGCTGAGAATTATGATGGCAATGAGAATTGAGGAGTTCGGATGAAGAGTATTCAACAAAGTGGCCAAATTACAAAAAATGAGGTCAGACCGATTCCATCCGTCTTTGAGCCACTTTAAATGGCGTAAATTAATTATTTTATAAATGAGCAGAGTTTCGAGATTAACAATAAATTCCTTATATGCGATTTATTCATACCATTTTGTTTTAGGCGATGAAGGACTGGCAGTAAAATTTTCCCACATTGAATTTCACATAGTCTTGTTTTCACAAAAGTTGTGGTAGATTTCGGGAGTCGAACCGCTGCTTACATACGAAAAAAATAAGCAATGTAGTCGATTGTTATAGCAAATCATACGTTTGCTTCATCGACACTCGCACCAAAGAAAGAATGTGAAATGGAAAAAGCCTGGATTTCCTCAAAAATCACATCTGCCCTGTGACCAAAGGGTACTCATAGCAACGCGGCCGAGTGGTCAACGTGTCAAGCTCTCATCCTGGACCATCACGGTTCGACTCCAGCTGGGGCTGTTGATAAAACCGAGGCGAGAAAGAAACTGGTTGGACACAACTTTTGGGAAAGCAAGACTATGTAAAATTGCATGGAAAGGTCAGCTCTCCGCGTATGTTTGTGGAAAATTCTACTACCAGTCCTTCATCCCCTTAAACGAAATTGACTGAATGCATCTCATATAACCGATTATTTTATTATTTTACAACCCCAGATAGTACGAAAAATGTATTTTCACATGACGACAAATTATGAGGTGAATAGATGTTGTCGTGTCTTGTCCAACGTGGTATAGCTAATCTTCCTGGCAACGCCTACCAGCCGCTTTGCTTCTTTTGGAGCACAAGAAAGGGCAGAAGCAGCAGAAGAGGATACAACAACCGTGAACCGAGCGCGAATAGTCCCAACTCGGTCGACGGCAAAAGCCCTCTGACTTGTTGACGAATCACTGGACAAAAGATAGACTGAAGTGGAGAAGATGACTTGCCAGTTTGCACACTTTCAGTACTTTTTACAGATTCTGTGACTGGTTCCTCCTCGGGCAATTCTTTGAAAACCGTTTGTGTTGATTGAAGTATGAGCGAACTAGTCCTAGCACAAAGAGCAAAAAGGATAATTTGCAAGACACTACTCTCGACGCATGTGAAAGTAGCATAAAAAGCAAGTCTGTCTTAACCATAAAGAAGAACCGCAAGCAGTGTTGTCGTAGTTAAAAAGCGATACAATATTTCTGAACAGACCAACGCCTAAAGCCCTTACCTCCTGCG